TTGCATGGGGATAATATGAGGGTCAGAATAGATGCCTACTCTTTTTGGAGATGATCGCTATATATTTAGGGGTTGAAATGGACCAAAAAACTGCAAAATTGTCAGCAGGTCGTAATTATCGCCCGATCATCATGCACATTTGAATGGGGGTTACCGCACATTGCAAAAGCCAAGCAGTTTTGGATGGCCATCCAAAAATATTCAATGTGTGAAATAGTTTGCCAACTTTTGTAGACAAAAGACGAAAATGTCCATTCCAGTGACTTTTTGGAGAATTCACAAATACAGGAAAGACGCACTTCTGACTATTTAGTTAATGCTGATTTCGTTGAAATATAGTCAAATGTCTGTATCTCATATAGATGCGTTTCAGTCAAAAACCAATAATAAATGTTAATCTTTTGCCACTTCTGAGAGATTATAGGTCTTTGGGAAATATTGGTTTCAGATCTAGGAAGACCATTTAAGTGCAACTTCTACCAATAAATTGGTAATGAGCAAATTAGTTTAAGTTGCTATTATTCGAAAATTAGAGAACGAAACCTGATGGTTTTCTTTTATTATTTGTCACAATATCTTGTGGAATTCTTTCGAGTATCTCGCCTATATAAACTGTATGATTTATTATAGTGTTGTAGGGTATTCAACGGTCGGCCCCGCTCGAATGTAGCCTTTGCTTACTTGTTTTGAAAATATTTTTCAAAACAATAAATACATACACAAAAATGGCAAAAGTCGGGCACACTTAGAAAAAATTATAATCAGCTGGTAGCTCTAGCTTACCTTTTTGTTGTACCATGTTGCAAAATAAACATATATTCTTTTCAAGCTTAGCACATTCCAATATTTCTTCCAAACCAAAATCTGATAAGAAGAAAATCTGGTAAAAAGGTAGAATTCCCATAAACCACAATTATATAATATGGGTTTCAAAATTTTAATCAGTTGTGGGCGAAGTTCCAGAAGGAGTGTACCATTTTCTTATAAATGGGGATATTATTGCTCTAAAAATTGGCACATTCCAATATTTTTAGCAGCACAAGACTTAATATGAATATGGGATTTATTGGCCCAATTTTTCTGATACCTACCCCACGAAAGAAGGGGGGGGGGCAAAGGGGGAAACATCATGCATCTCAGTATTTCTATCAAAAATAGATCTTATGTAAATATGGAATATGTCAGTGCACTCTTTCCGGTAAAACTTCCAACTCCAAAAATTCAGCAAAGAACGTGCACTGTTTATGATGGGTTTGATGGGCAGAAACTTTCCTGCAATCAAAAGAAGCACTTCGACATCATAAGCAACGTCCTTTATTGCACTTCATTTCAATTTCTTGGGTATATCTTTAATTACCACCGCAACCACGATCATGGTGATGGAAAACCACCCTGTGGTGTAGCCCTGGTGACCGATCTCTTAATGGAGTTCTTTCCAATGTTGCTGATCATAGCATCAATTCATTCTATGAGGAGCTGGGGGACACCAAGTTTAAGAGAGAGAGAGAGAGAGAGAGAGAGAGAGAGAGAGAGAGAGAGAGAGAGTTATGAATGGATTCGAATGTGACATTTTTAATTGCTCCCTCGAATTCGTCATCTCGACGTGACCTACGACGTCATGTTGCGCTGCTTCAACGGACTTGCTATTCATGTAGGCATGCTGATGGTAGTCGGATGTATCGGAGTTTTGATTACAACATTAATTAATATTAGAGACTATTAAGTCTGTAGTCTTTTGGAAGTGAATGACTTGGAACACTTAACGTAGGTCTCTTTATACCTACCACCTTGAAAAGGAGGGTATATTAACGTGGGCATTCCGTTTGTAATATCCCTAAATATTCGTCGCAGACCCCATAAAGTAAATATATTCATAATCAGCATAACATTCTAAGTCAATATAACGATGTCTTATGTCTGTCTGTCCTTTGAAATCACGATACAGCCCACATTATTCGACGCAGAGCTTACAAATTTGGCAGCACAATTTGTGTTGGGTCTAGGATGGTTGGTCTTGAAAATGAGATATAACGGTCCACGTTTTGGAGTAGCCGCCATATAACGGTAGCTCCCAATATTCGGTATTTTGATGATTTTCGCCATATTTTTTCACGGATTTGTCTATAAATTGACGTTTGTAGGTCATTATTTATTCTAGCTCCTGGGGCCCGAAACATTTTATGTGAGGTTTTGGTATAGCCCCCACATAATAGTACCTCCCGATATTCATTATTTTAATGATTTTTGGCACATTTTACCACGGATTTGTCCAAAAATTGGTATTTATAGTTCGTAATGGGTTCTAGCTCCAGTGGCGGAACGTAGTATATAAAGGTGTACGTTTTGGTATAGGCCCACTAATACGGTACCTCTCCATAGTCGGTATTTTTATTCATATTAAGTTAGTCATTCCGTTTGTAACTCCTCGAAATATTCATATAAGACCCAACAAAGTATATATATTCTTGATCAGCGTAAAATTCTATGTCGATTTAGCCATGTCCGTCTGTCTGCCTGTCTGTTCGTCTGTCTGTTGTAATCACGCTATCTTTCGAATGAATTGAGATAGAAGGCTAAAATTTTAAGTCCGTAGACCGGCCATGTAGGTCCACATTTTCATATAGCCCACATATAACGGTACCTACCGATATTCGGTATTTGATGATTTTAGCGACATTACTCACCAGAATTGTTGCAAATTTGGTATTTGAAGTTCGAAATGGATACTACAGCCTAAGACATAAAATTATCTGTGCAGGTCCACGTCTTCGTATAGCCCCCATATTTGAAGTTCCAAATGAATACTACAGCTTAAGACAGAAAATTATCTGTGCAGGTCCCCGTCTTCGTATAGCCCCCATAAAACGGTCCCTCCCTATATTGGGTATTTTGATGATTTTAGCGACATTACTAACCGGAGTTGTTTCAAATTTGGTATTTGAAGTTCGTAATGGGAACTACAGTCTGTGACAAAAAATTGCCTATGCAGGTTCAGGTCTCGTATAGGCCCCATATATCAGTACCTCCCTATATTTGGTATTTTGACGAGTTTAGGTACAAATCTCACCCAAATTGTTTGAGATGTCGTATTTGAAGTTCGTAATGGATCTACAGCCTGTGACAAAAAATTGTCTATGCTGGTCCAGGTCTTCGCACAGCTCCTATATTACGGTACCTCCCTATATACGATATTTTGATGATTTTAGCTACATTATTCATCGTTTATTTCAAGTTTCGAATTTGAATATGGCAAACAATGTCCACGTCGTATAGACCCCAATTTTTAAAATTTTAACAGAATTGTTTAAGGATTTTATTTTTTGAAAATTTTCAAATTCGTTCCAAATGGTGGAGGGTGTTCAAATTTCGGCCCGGCCGAACTTACTGCTTTTTAACTTGTTATGATTTGATTTCGGATGATTTTTTCACAGATTTGTGTAATAGTTGGTATTTGTCGTTCGTAAAGGGTTCTAGCTCCGACTGCAGAACATTGAAAATTTAGGTCCACAATTTCCTATAGCGCACATATAACTATATTTAAGAAGATTTGGTAGATTATAATCCTTAAAGTGTAAAATTGCCTATAAAGGTCCCCGTTTTGGTATGGCCCCCATATGAAGACCTCACCCACTTTATGGGTTTTTGAAAATTTCAACAGCAGTACAAAAACAGTCTTGCTGGTATTTGTAGTTTAAGGTGGAACATGTTTCAATTCAGATACTTTTATATTACTTTTTTTCTTTACCGAATGGTGGAGGGTAGTACAAGTTTGGCCCGGCCGAACATAATGCTTTTTTAATGAGGTCACCTTCTTAATTCTACCATGAATTGGACGCTCCCTGGTGACTTTTATTGGCGCCCTCGCTATTGTTATGGTGTGGCTTTATTACAATCAAAGCTGTCGATAATCGAACACCCCCATTGGGGGGGGGGGGGGGGGTGCTACACATTTATGGTATACCAATCCAATGAGATCTTGGTCTTGAAATGTTTTCGCATTAAAAATTAGTTATGGCCCATGAAGGTAAGCTAATGGTCTTAGCTATAATGAGGTCTCTAACGAAAGTGGCATTTGAGACTGCAGCAATAAATTGAGTTGTCAATGTGGCGTATACTTTACGACAACAGCAGTACGTATAGCTGTACTTACTGTGTACCATATGTGAACATTTTTAATATGTGGTTAATTTTATTTTATTTTTTATGAGGTGAAAGAATATAAAGTTTTTTCCGCAACCATTTTTCGAAACACCCTCATATCCACTCAATCTCAAATAACGAACGAAACAAACTCGTTTCACACATAGCATAAGGCATTTAACATGTAAAATATAATACACTCCGATACAAAAACTATTTATGATTCGTTTACGAAAATTGTCCTGTTTTTGATGTGTGCGAATGTGTGTGCATGTGTGTCAAACATATAAACGTATAAAAAATACTCGACAAGAGATTGCTCTTGGGTAAATAAATTTTTAGCACTTTATTTTTTGGAAGTTCCCCCTCTGAGATAACAGGAGTTCTATATATATTTTTTTGGGGGGAAAGAAGTATTTATAAACTTTACAATGGGCAAATGAACTCCTCACTGTGATGGGCTTAATGAATTTTATTTGTATTGGGGTAGTCATGGAGTTTGGAGATCAGGTAGGGTATAAAATAAGTTAAAACAAGAGTTATGATTGATTAACCGGGGGCATATGATTGTCAATAACACGTATACGCCGATAGGTAAATTTGAGAATTTTTTGGATTGCATTTTACTCAAAATCTATATATTTTTTGGTCATAAAAACACTTTTGTAACTTAAAATTCGGAGATATTATAGAAGAAAAACTCTCGTGATATTTAGGAATCTTATAAGATGACATGGTCATATTTTACAGTACTCTGAAGCGTATAAGTATCACCAAAATGTATACGATAAGGGTATTACATTTTGAATCTAATACTTTATTATTTCTGTTTTAAAGTTCCTTTCTCTTTTCCTTTTCAGCGCTATCGTCCCGATTATCTCGAGGATTATGATAAAATTGGTTACAAACACACCTTGGCAACCTTCTATTCGAAGGCATGTTTTTGGTGGCTGACTCCCCTGCTGTGGTTCGGTTACAAAGAGCCATTGGAACTTGAAGATTTGGGTCAAATGCGTGTGGAGGATAGTGCCCGGGCCCACTATGATCGGTTTCTTTTGATTTACAAAACGGAAAAAGTGGTGAGTGGAACTTGACGAATTTACTTGATTTTTAATTCATTTAAATATATTTTTTATTTTATTTTATTTATTTATTTCATCCATTTCTGTAATACAAAGCCTATAAGACCATATACAAGTATTACTAGTTACAAAATTAAACCTGAGCTTATAGTAATAATACAACTCTTTCATTTTACTAAAATACATAATTTTTACTTGGCTCCCCAGCCATCTATTATTAAGAAAAGAAAAATATATAAATGTCCTAGACAACAACAACTCTAGATTAGTCCATCATTTTAATTCATTGCCAAATGAATTCGCAATTTCCTTTTAAATACATTATTAGTATGCGAGAATATTCTAAGTTCATGTGGAAGTACATTCCAAACGCGTGCAATCCGAACTACAAAGGATCGCGCATAAATATTCCTACATATCCTAGGTATAATCAATTGAGGGTTTCTGGTTGAATGTGAAAAGGAAAAAAGTCTTGCTAATGATGCAGGCTCACCATTTTTAACTACATTATAAAATCCTACCAGGATACGATAAGATATGAAATTGTTAAAGGAACAACCCAGAAAACACTTAACATAATCAGAAATATGACTTCTTAAAGGAATCTTATAGACAAAGCGTACAATTGCATTTACAATTTTCTGCAACCGAGAGAGCTGTCCACCAATGCAACCTGACACAATCTCAATACCATATAAAAAGGTAGACATAAGCAATGCATGAGCTACCTGTTTCTTAACATGAAGAGGCATATACAAATTTGATGCGTATATTCTTCTTAATAAAAAACAAATTTTGCCAGATAAAATATCAATGTGATTACTAAACGATAGTTCATTATCAATAGTAACACCCAGAACTTTATGGTGTTCAACAAAACCAATAATATTATTGCCTAAAACAATGTTTAAGTTCGATGATGCATTTTTGGACATGCCAAACAACAGTGCTTTGGACTTAGATGATATAACTGTTAGATGATTCGCTGATGCCCAACTTGAAAATTGATTTAGGCACATGTTGATAGTATTTTCTAACAAAGATAAATTATCTCCTCTACCAGTAAATAATAAGAATATATCATCGGCAAACTGAAATGTTGTGCAACATTCCACGTCAATGCAAGCACGTAAGTCATTTACGTAAAGGATAAATAATAGCGGGCCCAATACGGAACCCTGCGGTACACCACTGTAAAGGGAAAGCAAATTTGATTTAAAGTTATTTACAGAAACAAACTGAGTCCTATCCTTAAGGTATGAGAGTATCAGCTTACATGCAGTCAATGAAAAATTAAAAGTGTGTCTTAACTTGTTAATCAAGAGTGAAAAATTTATTGAATTGAAAGCTTTTGAAATATCAAGAGATATCAAAACATTAACTTTGCCTTCGTTAAGATTCAAACGGATTAAATCTGTGGCTCTCAATAGTAAATGTGTAGTACTGTGACCCCGTCTGAAGGCATATTGTGTATCACAAATTAAACTGCTCGTATGTTCTAATATTTGGTTCTTTAAAATAACTTCTACTATTTTCGAAATGGCTGGAAGTATTGAAATTGGGCGGAGGTCTTCCGGACCCTGAACATTTTTAGATTTTGGAATGGGCACAACACGCGCAGTTTTCCAATCTTGTGGAAATGAAGAACTAGTTAAAATGTAGTTCACTAAATGTAGAACAAAGTCAGAAATATATGGAAAAACCAATTTAATAAAGTATATTGGAATTTCATCTACACCAACCGACTTGCATTTGATCTTGCTCAAGACTTCATGGACCTCAATTTCCGAAACACAGCGAAAGGAAAAGGACGAATCTGTGTCAGTAAACTGAGAGAAGTCAACTTTATTATCCTGCACAGAATTATTTAGAGCAAAAAAATTATTAATGTCATTGACATTAATGTCAATTGCAGTATTATCGGATTCTACACATCCATAGTTTTTCAATATTTTCCATATTCCAGCAGAATTCGCATTACCTAAGAGTTTAGAAAAAAATTTCCTTTTGGCCCTGCGCATTACGGTCCTAGCCCTATTCCGATATCTGCGGTAAGTGGACCAATTTTCTTGACATCTGTTATGTTGGAAGGCCGAAAAAGCTGAGTCCCTAGCCGATCTAGCAAAATCTACATCCATTGCTTCAAGCCAGCGGTCTGAATTAGCATTAATTTCCTTTCGCACAACCGGAACACAAGAAAAAAGATCTGCAAGCAGATTTGTTAGAAATTCACATTTCATGTTTACATGTACTGAACTATAAAAAGCATAGCTATCAAACTCACTCAAGAGAGTAAACAAATGATCCCAATCGATTATATTATAATTTCGAAAAACTATGAATTTGGACGGATAATAAACATTGAAAATAAGGCATGCAAAGATGAGGGCATGATCAGAAACAGACGGACATTGAACTTGACCAGAAAAATGTTTGAAAGAAGCATCACTTACTAACATAAAATCTATAAGCGATGTCGACCTTCTGCCTAAATCAAAATGCGATGGCTTTGAGTTATGAATTATCGACATATTGTATCTGGCACAAAACGAGCGACAAATGTTTGCTTTGGAAACATCAAATAAGTTAATGTTCAAATCACCTAAAACGACTATATTTGAATATTTGGAAAATATTTCTCTATGATTGACTTCAAAATTGAGTAAACAACCCGTAGACAAGTAAACAACACCAAACAAGACTTTAAAATGCCCAAACACCAATTCAATAAATAATGATTCACATCCAGCCAATGAGATTTGAAAAACAGTTTTAAACTGTAGTCCATTTTGCACAAATATCGCAACACCTCCTCCTCTGCCAGAGAATTGCCGATCATTACGACATATTCTATATCCAGGGATGGAAATTGCATTATTACAAACTTCAGGAGTAAGCCAAGTCTCTGATATAGCAAATAAGTGCAATGCGCTATCTACAATTATATGCCTTAACTCCTCAATCTTCAGCTGGGCCTTTATACTACGGCAATTTAAATGACCAAGTTTAAAATGTTGGTTACTAGAGCAGAGGGCAGATTTAATATAAGAGTTATTGTTAACCACCGGACCAAGGTTGTCGTTAAGAGACATCATAAACTGGCAAATAATTAGAGGAGGGGAACCAAGAAAAAATGTATGATAAAATAAATTTAAAATATAAAAACATACTCTATATCTCTATTTTATAACTTCAAACAGCTGATCCTAATATAAATTTAAATTTTATAATTACAATACCAAAAAAAGGAAATTTGTAGATTTAAGATGGTGATAACTCAGCGTCCTTCAATAGCATGTTGCATTTTTCGAGGTCAGCAACAATATCAGTTCCATTTGAAAAATTTAATTTAGCCATTAGTGTATTCGAGTTAAGAATTCTATACTTGACAATAATATTGAGCCTTCGCAGTTTTCTACATAAAGAATTCAGATGCGCAGCGCCTGGCGAGAAATGCTCATTCAAGTATACTCGGTTTGACAAGTAATTACCGGCTCCAACCAATAGGTCACTGGCTTTAATGTTTCTTGTTTTGAAATACTCCCTCATTATAGAGTCACGAAGAGACACGTTATTAAATTTAATCAATATTTGCGTCTTCTTCCTTATGTATGAAACTTGATTAATATCTGCACTAGATAGAGACAAATTAAAAAACTTGCCCAGCGCCAGAATTGGTGCCATCAAATCTGGTAAGCCAGATGGCAGTCCACCAACTAGAATGTCCGCCCGATTTAGCCTGCAGTGCAGTTTATTAAGCTCTGCCTCCATCTCAGACATTTTTGAAGAAGTAGTAGCTTCCACAGTTTTGATTTTCTCGTTGCAGTTACTAATTTCAGTTTTAAGTTCTGAAAAGCATGAACACATTTCCGTCTTTATATCGTTCAATGCTGATTTAATTGAGTTTTGTTCTGCTTGATTGTTCGAAATGAAGCCATCAAACTTGGTATTAAGACTGCGGATCTCGTCAGCTATTCCGCTACTGCTGTTGGATTGAAGATTTGCGTCACATTTGGAACAAATATAATTGTTGAATTTTATTGCTCGCAATGCAGCCAATTCCTTAGTACCAACGTTGGCACAATGAGAATGTAGCCAGTTGGAGCACAGGCGACACATAATGCTTCCTTGAGTCTTGGTAATAGAATCGCAACAAATACCACACTTTTCTGACTTCGACATCTTTGAAATAATCAGGCAATCCAAAAAACAACAACCACAGCAAAGGAACAGCACGCAAAGCAGAATAAAAAACAGCGACAACAGTTATAAAACCAATAAAAAGCAAACAGTGATTCAGCAATAATCCACCTTGATAGGACAATGTTTAGCTCGAATTATTGGGAAAATCCAACTGAGTTCCTTGCAATTCTTCACAACCTCGAAGTAAATTTTAAAATTGAGCTGCAAACAGTAAGGTATGGCGGCAATTATAAATAGAATCCAAAAAATTTAGCGATTGATCAGCTGCAGTGAAATAAACACGACTACTCAGGCATAGCGTTGCCAGATTATTCAAAAGTTCAATTTTCCCGTTTTAAATTTTTAATTAAAAATTATTTTACGATTTGTTAATTAAGAGTGAATGTAAATTTAATACCGGCAATAAATAAAAATGTTTTAATTTATTGAAATAGATGGGAATTTGTCTAATCTTAAAATTAATATGATATTCTATTTTTGATTTGAAATTATCAAAACAATACACTTAAAATGTCAGACAATTTTTTCAATTAATTGGAAACTAAGTTTTTTACACAAATGACACTATCGACTCTCTGTCTCAAGTTAAACAAGAATAAATATTGTTCTTCCTTAAATTGTTTCGAAAATGTTTTCTGTACTTTCCGAAGAATATAAAACATTAAATACTTTATGGTGTATAATTGATGACAACTGTTATACGCACCGATGTCCTTTAGAAAAATTAATAACCAAAGACATAATGGCATAATAAAATCTCATATTATACAATTCATTTCACTTTGACCACAAAA